GGCCGGGAACATACTCATAGGTAAGCGGCTCCACCGGCGCCTTATCGTCGGACGGTCGTGAAGAAGAAGCTTTCTCCTTCTGAGGTACAGTTTTCGAAGTTTTGGTCATTGATACAAGAGAAAGAAAGGCAAAGGAAGATGAAAAATTGATGCAGATGGCTCTGCAAGTGGCGGCATAGAGAGAAAGGGTAAGAAAATTTGGAAGAGTGAAAGATATAAAAGTGGTAAATGTTAGATGGGAGGGGGGGGGTTATTTATAGGCTTGCATCGTGACGGTTCAATATCAGAGGTGGCCGACCACCGTCTGACATACATTAAATACCTTGAAAAGACTAAATCGATGGGACAGCTATCACATACGTCATGATCGGGCCCTGTGAAAATGTCATCTTATAACCAGATCGAACCGTCGAAAATCATATCGATTCTCACCACATCCTTCTTGAGAAATGAGGGGACTATCTGTATACGGTCAAAATAGATTTCGGCCTTCCTACCTTCGATCGAGTTCGAATGGTAAGCAACCGAAGTGAGATTTTAGGATGAGTTTCGAAGGTAGTACAAACGAGCCTCGAGTCCGAAGGTTGATCGAGGAGTCAGCTCGATACTTTCATCGAGCCCATGACCGAATCGGTCCGCAAGGCATTGCTTCGAGGTTAGAAATGCGCTACGCCCACCCCGAAGGTCAAACTCAAGCCAAAACCGAGGGTTCGACCCAATAACAAGCCCGAACCAGTGTCGAGCTCACAGACAAGAGTCGTTACAACCGCACTAAGAGAGAGAATCTTGGCGGAAATCGAGAAAGAGATAAATCATCATGGGTCCTCCACTATATGTTTTATTTTATTATAAATGAAGTAGGATCCCTCTATTATAAGGGGGGGGGGTCCTTGTAAGCAGCACACAGAGAAAAATGCATTATAACAAAAGATCACTTCTCATATTGAAAGATATTTCCTCATGCTTATTTTATTTTACCTTATTCATTCTTTTGCTCACTATTCCCATTCTCATAGCCAAGAACACAAATATTTCTATTTTTCTCTACGATTTGTATCAAACTGTATCACATATCCTTAGAACCATACACAAATTTAACGTTATCCAATTTTTCGGGTAAACAGAGTAGAGTATGGTTCCCACAAGAACTTGTAATCAATTATCAATTAAATCAAGTAATTTCTAATTTATCAAGTCAAGAACAATTTCAAAGTGATTATTGTTTACTTAATTCTACTAACTTAAGTTGCGATTAAAAGAAAATCCAATTAATTATCACATTTAGCACGGCAATTTATAATTCAATGAGAGGTAAGATTCCAGAGTCATGGTTGGATAACAATCTTGTTGAATTCTTCAATTGACTCGACTTATTAATTAATCTAGGTTATTAACCTGCAAGAACAATAATACTCGTAGAAATTTGACAACTTCTACTCACCTATTTAATTTAATCTAACCCCTATATTTATATGAGATTAGAGATAAAAAGAATGCATTAACAATTTTTTACACTATTAGCTAAGCACGGCAAATAAGTATATTTCTATCTGTATTCGCAAATCAATTCCCCAATGACTAGGTTTAAGATCGCGCTCTATTCAATCCTATTGCAATTAAGAATTACCTTTGTCAAGTTCTACTCAAGATTCATATATAGTATTTCACTGTTAGCTAGGCAGTAAAATAATTAAACTCTGGATATAAATAAACAACCCAATATGATAAATTAACTCGTCAAATCAAATTTCAAATATCAACATTCATGTGAAACCATAACCCCAGAATAAATGCGTTTAGCCACGCATAGTCATGGTAGCAATCTTAATTAATTCCCAAGAATACATACAAATCAAGAAAAGAAGGGAAAAGTAAGAACTCAAGATGAATTTCATGGTGTCCGAACTCTGTGGTGGCGTTTCTCCGCTTCCAAGTGTTTTTTATGACCTAAAAGAGGCGTTTTTGGCTTATATATTGCGTACAAAAGTCGTGGGCCAAAATTTTCCTTTTCCGAATCAGCTTCAGGGATTGATGCTGAGTTGGATGCTTCGCGTCCGCCTCAGCTTGAACTTCTCAGCATCGGATGCTGGGGTGCATGCCTTCTCCCGACTTCACTACTAAGGATGAACCAAATAATCTTTTTTTTCAAGGTTGGATGCGACGCATCCAACCTCTTCTCCTATAGATGGAGCATCGTTTCTTCATATTTTTGCACTCCAAACATCCTAAATCATCACACACAACTCAATTAGTCATAAAACCAATAATTAATACATGTTGGGCATTTTAAACACCAAATAGCACCAAAAAGCGGTTAAAATATATGTAAAATAATATTAAAACATATAAAAATATGCCCAATATCACCATCCCACACTTAAACCTTTGTTCGTCCTCGAGCAAAGTAAAATCAACCTACAATAGATCGAACAAAATTAAGCTTATCACTATCAAGCCATAATTTTTCAATTAAGCTCAAGCACCAATGACTTTGGTTGATACCAACAATTAGCCCTTTGCATATACATTCTTTACTTACTTCTCCATGTTAAAAACATGCCAAGCACAATATTGAGCAGTTCAAAATAATCAAATAGCAAATTCGGGACATCTCAACCTCAGAAACTACATCCCTAGCATAACTACTTTCAGGCCAACTTACTTACTCTGACAGAAGAGCTTAATAAAGTCATCTATCTATCATGAAATATGTGCCCTCACCACAAATCAAAGAGAGATAGTCCACACACTCAAATACAATTCGAACATATTTTAAGGACTTCAAACAATGGAAGAAATCACTCACTCTCTCAAAGAAGTTCACATGCGCACAAAAGGTACCATAGGCTTTCCCGTTATATAAATCTCTACTAATGTAGGCATGCTCAGTGTAAAATCAATTAGGACATTATCATTACTGTAACGTGGGCTAAGAGACGGGTATGATATATATAGAAAATAGTGGTTAAACCTCCTAATCACTTTAACACGTCAAGTAATCACTTTAACAAATCAAGTAATCACTTTAAGCGCAACTTTCTTCAACCCAACTTCAAACATCACAAATAATATCACCCCCAAAATATTCCTTTTTTCTTTAAGCACTACTTCGACTCACACTCACTAGCAAAGACAAGATGTAATATTGCTTTTGCTTATTTTTTCCCTCTTCTCTCAGATTTTGTTTTGATTTATACTAGTAGTGTACTTCTTACAAAACAAGTGCACCTTTATTTCTTTCGTTGGTTCCACTCGAAAGTAACTCTAGTTCCCTCCTTATTTCTTCTAGCGCTTATTTTACATGTTAAGTCTTTAAGAGGTAAAAGGATCAAAGTACTGTCGATTAAGAATAAAAAAAAAAGGGGTATGGGCTTGTAATGTAGGTGCCAATCAAAAGGTTTACAAGCTCAATATGGCTAACTAGAGATGATTTTATTTGTGGTAGCATTAAAATTCAAAAAGGATCAAAGAAGGCCTAAAATCATATTTCAAATCGAGCAAAACCTAGGATTGCACTTCAACTCACATGCAGGGCAAGTTCTATACACAAATGTACTACAAGGAACTATATGAAAATCTCACCATACAATGGCACATGAGTCAATTAGGATGGCTACATTCCAACTCTCAATCAACGCGAGTACAGAGCTAGGCCATAATTTTAATGCAAAAGGCACAACAGTTAGCACAAAAGTCAAGAAAATGAGCCTTAGCATCACAAAATAAGCTATTTCATTTTTCAAGACACAAGTAGTTCTAGAAAACTCATAAGAAAAGTTATAATCCACATGCCGAGGTCTAACTCTGTTGGTATCAAACAAGTTATTAAGCATGCCGAATTCAGTCTAAGTCACTATATCCTACACTATTCTAAAAAAAAGTACCCGGTTCAAAATAATTTATCTCTTGGAAAAGAACCGATGCCCAAAGAAAAACCAAGGGAATTACTACCTATGCTATCCTAATAAAAGCAAAAGAAAATCTTCTTGGTATTTTAAATCGGACCTTAATCCCTCAAGAAAACTGGCCAAGAGATCCATCGTCAAGAAAACTGTCCGACCTCTTCTCCTATAGCTGCAGCATCTTTTCTTCATATTTTTGCACTACAAACATCCTAAATCATCACACACAACACAATTAGTCATAAAACCAATAATTAACATATGTTGGGCATTTTAAACACTAAATAGCACCAAAAATAATTAAAACATGGGTAAAGTAACATTAAAACATATAAAAATATAAATGCCCAACATCAATAACCAAAAGTCAGTCTTGGAATTTAAACTATTGTGGTCTTTGTGAAACAAAAGGTTCTCTTACATGAAATATTTTGCTTCTTTCTGGCCGACATGGAAAACTGACTAATTTGTTTCCTTCTAGCGTTTATCTTTAACAAAATGAAGAAAATAAAAGTTGAGTATATTCTTTATCTTTCTTTCTTTATTTTTATTTTTTCATGTTTATTTTCTCTATAATTTTCCTTTCCATCCCTTGACTTGCTAGTTGGAAAATTGAGAAAGGTTATGTTTAATTCATTTTTGATTCCCACTTTACATAAAAAGTTAAAGGCCAGTGACCGGTGAATATAGCATCGGCAGTACATCTCTGACCCTAACTAAACCAACTAAATATAATAATCAAAATGTCATGTTGTTTTTCTTTTTATCTAATCACCAAAAGTTTATGCTGTCCTCCTCTGCTTCAAAATTTCAATAATCCAAATAGAATTAGGTTAAGGGTAATTGGTGAATATAGCAGCACTTCTCTGACCGAAACAAACTAAATATAATAATCTAATGTCATGTGCACTTTCATTTAGGTTAATCATTAAAAGTTTTTGTCCTCCTCTGATTTAATATTATTTTAAGCATATTAGTACGTGGTATTATATCATCAATTAAAATCAAATCATATCACTTTCCTTCGTCTTTCCAACTTCCACGCACTCTCCCCTGCATGTACCTATATATTTCTATATATCATCATTCGCTCTTCTCCAGTTTCTCAAGCTAATTAATTGCCTATTCTCTCACCAAAGAAAGTGCTCACAATTTTGTGTACAGAAATTAATGGAGATGGAAATGATGTTGCCATCACCATCTGCAGATTTCAACTTGGACGACAGTGCTTGTACTACTCCTTTTATAAGTGCTCCTTCAAGTCCTGAACGTTTTGATGCATTCTTTTTCAGTCCTTCCCGTATCCCCGCCCTTTATGAAGAAACTAACGCTACACACGACGATGATTTTACTTTTGTATTTAGTGGATATGAGTTGGAGAAAAGGTCAATATCAGCAGCTGATGAGCTCTTTGATGGAGGAAGAATCAAGCCTTTAAGTCAAAATGATAGTCGTGGAAGGGAAAGAACTCAAAATTCTTCAAACTCTTCAAGTCCCAGCAGCAGGCACAAAGCAACAAGATCATTATCTCCTTTGAGAGTTTCTGATTTGCTATTATTTGATCACAATGAAAACATTGATCAAGAAAACACAGAGACCTCTCCTACTGCTGCTTGTTCTTCTTCGGATTCGTCTTCAGTTTCATCATTGATATCACTCTGGAACAGAAAATGGAAGCTGAAAGACTTATTGCTATTCAGAAGTGCTTCTGAGAGTCGAGCAACTAGCAATACAGAAGAGCTGAACAAGTATGAGTTGGTGAAGAAAGCCCGTCAAGAAGATGCTAAATCGAATAGTACTAATGTGGGAGCAGCGGTACCGAGCTCGAGGAGGAGGAAGGTACCAATTTCGGCTCATGAGTTGCATTACAAGATGAAGAGGGAATGGTTGAAAGAGATGAAGAAGAAAACTTTCTTACCGTATAAACAAGGTTTACTTGGTTGCTCAGGGCTAGATGATCCAATTTCAATGTACATGACTCGTCGTGAATAGCTCCAGTTGTCTCCATATGTAATTATTTGCTTAATATAGAAGAACAAATGGTTTGATTGAACATCTTTTAAAGTAAAGTTCTCTATTTTGTATATCGGAAGAAATGATTAGTTGAGTTCAAAGAGTATATAACGAATCAGACAGCAATATCAGGAAGATTTTATTATTTCAAGATTATTTAAGCAAACAACAGAATTGCTGCTAGGGAACTACACTAGCAACCTACCAAATTTTGCATCAAAACAATATAAAAAAGTACCACTTGTCGAACTACATCAGCTCGTTGAAAAAAAAACCACATCGCCTCCTCGTCATGGATTAATTAACTAAATGGAAGTTGACACTACTAAAGATTCCATAAATTTCAACGGCGGTTTTTCGATGGTAAAAATATTAATCGAAACTTTGACGGGAAAAACATTAGTTGAAATTTTGATGGTTTTATCAATGGAAAAAAGTAGATAAATGAATAAATATACTTTCAGATTTTCTTTCCGTAGTTTCTAGTCGCCAAAATGGTGGGAGGCACCCTGACCTTGAGAAAGAGATTTTCAGGAATCAAGAAGTAAGATCATTCAAGAATAGATTAACGAAACAATCTATTACCGGGAGCAGTGCAAGGTAAAGAATCAATGATTAGAGATGAAAAAGGAAGAAGCAGCAGAGATACTCGATAAATGATTGACGGAAGCTATTACAGGAAGGTCCCAAATCAAAGAAAAACGAGATCGCAAAAAGGCTGCACTGGAGATCGTTTGAGCCAGAAATCAAGGGATCTATCGCAAATCACTTAAGTAACGAAAAGATATGCCTAGCGGATGAAAAGCTTGTCAAGACCACAAATCAAAGAAGATCAACGAAAATTTAACTTTATTCCTAGAAAGAATCAATCTATGATTCCTTTCAAGGATCAACTCCCTTGGGTTTGCAATCTCTCAAGATTCACGTCATTCAAGAGTCAAGAAGGACTAACGAAGTATATATATACATATGTTCCAGACTTGAAGAGAATATACTTTGATCAAACCAACTTCAATCTCTTTGTTCTACTTCAAACAAAATACTGTAATCTGCTCTAGATTTCTTGTGTAACTATGAAGAGAGAGAAAAGAACACTGGTGAGGCATTATATCAATTATAGAGAGAAGAACGAGTGAAAAAAGTTGTTGGTGTATAACAACATCAACTCATCTGTACTAATCCACTTCATACTTGAAAGAGATCACCCTTGCAACCCAACGGGACTGGACGTAGGATTCACTCTGAATCCGAATCAGTATAAAATATATTGTGCTATTTACTTTCTACAATTTATCTTTTTCATTNCCACCTGCACTTTCAATTGGTATCAGAGCTAGTCTCACACTTTTTGCTTAATAGCTTGTGAGAAAAGATCGTAGCAAATCAAGTAATTATTGGAGCACTCAGTCAATAAGGAACATCGCAAGTTAGGCCACCATATTTCAATGGACAACACTTTTCTCATTGAAAAGTGCGTATGAAAATATATACAAAATCCTATGATATCAAAATATGACGCGTTATCAAAAAAGGGATCTATCCACTACCAGCAGCAACTCAACCATCTGCTGATCCAGAAGATATAGATGAGTACACAGACGAGCAAATAACAGTTGTCCAGGTTAATGCTCAGGCACAAAATTTACTCTATAATACTATAAGTGGAGAGGAATATGAGAAAATCTCAAGTTGTGATACGGCTAAAGAAATGTGGGATAAACTGGAAGTTACGTATGAAGGAACCAGCAAAGTGAAAGAAACTCACATTAACATGTTGATCATGACTATGAACTCTTCCAGATGAAATAAGGAGAATCCATTGAGGAAATGTTTGTAAGGTTCAGCAAAATCATTAGCGATCAAAAAGCTTTTGGTAAACCATACTCAAGTGGTGATCAAGTTTGAAAAATTCTAAGGAGTCTACCTACCACTTGGCAGACAAAAGTAGTTGCACTCGAATCACAAGATCTAAACAAACTTTCATATGATGAGTTTCGAGGAGATCTTATAGCATTCGAGAAAACTCACCTCAAGAAAACAAACCAGGAAGAAAAGAAGAAAATAGTTGCCTTCAAAGATACTACTGAAAGACCAGAAAATGATATTGATGACGACCCAGAAGCTCTTGAAGAAGAGATTGATATGGTATCAAGGAACATGGATGGTTTAATAAGAAGATACAGAAACACAAGAAGAGGTAGGATTCCCCCTAGGCGAACCAGGCAATATAATGAACAAGACAAGAATGATGAAAAATGTTATGAGTGTGGAAGATTTGGGCATGTTCAAGCTGAAATGCCCAGATTTTAAAAGAAAGGTTTCCAGAGGATTCAATAAAAACAAATCTTTCGGAAGCTGGAGTGATGAAGACAGTTCGGAATACGAGAAAATAGCAAATATATGCTTCATGACCATTCTGGAAAACGACATGAACAAATATTCGGGTTGTTGGATTGATGAAGATGCATCAGACGATGAATGCAAAGAAGATAATGAAAATTATTTCATGGCACGAGGAGAAACAAGCGAGGTAAGATCTTATAACTGTGATAGATGCAATGAATTGCAGGATATTCTTGACCTTACTCTAAAAGAGTCTCAAAAAATGATGAATGAACTAATGAGACTAAATAGGGAAAAGAAAGACTAGAAACTCAAGCTTGAAGTATGTGAAATTGAATGAGATGTACTTCAAGATGAAGTTCAGGAATTGCAAATGCAACTTAATGTAACGCACAATCCACCAGTAACAGTTCTGTCAAGTCTAACCAGGCGACTTACAAGTCAACTGAAAAAGGACCGGTTAGAACTGAGTCCACAAGTACTAACACGAGTGGTAGATCAAAAACTGGATCAGCCCCTATGTGTCACTACTGTAACGAAAGTGGACATAAATATTCTTTCTGTTGATTTCATAAATCTAATATTTCAGGATGGATTTGGAAATCGAAAAACAATCCCGATCTTAGTAGAACTAACCAACAAGGACCCAAGCAAGCTTGGGTACCTAAAAAAAAGTGATAATTCGATTTTGCAGGAACACCACAGAAAGAGCCAAAAAGGAAAATGGTACTTAGACAGTGCATGTTCCAGTCACATGACAAGTGACAAAAACCTATTCAAAGAAGTTACAAAGATAAATGGAGGAAGTTTCAAATTTGACGAGGATTCAAAAGGAAAGATAGTTGGCACTGGTACAGTTCCATTCAATAACAATTGTAATATTACTGAAGTGTATCTTGTTGAAGGACTCAGCAACAATCTCCTGAGTATAAGTTAGCTATGTGATTCAGGGTGCGAAGTTAAATTCAAGAAAACAGGTTGTGCTATTGAAGATGAGACAGGTAAATAATACTCCCAGGAAAAAGGTATGGAAATATTTACATTCTCGATGGTATTGAAAATCTAGATAGTCACATCTGCTTAGCATCTATATCTGATGATCCATGGTTGTGGCATAAGAAACTTGATCATGCAAGCATGCATCTTATTGAGAAACTCTCCAAGCATAATTTAGTTATTGGTCTCCCTAAACTCAAATTTCCTAGAAATCATGTATGTGATGCATGTCAAATTGGTAAACAAACCAGAAACTCCTTCAAAAGCAAAGACATTGTATCTACCACCAAGCCTTTACAATTGCTCCACGTGGATTTGTTTGGACCCCCCAGAACTACTAGCATAGGAGGAAAATGATATGTTTTTGTTATTGTTGATGACTACTCACGTTTTACATGGGTGATTTTCTTATCTCACAAAGATGAAGCTTTGAAATACTTTGACATTTTTTGTAAGAAAGTTGAAAGAGAAAAGGGGTACCTTATTACTACCTTTCAAAGTGATCATGGAGGAGAATTCGAAAGAAGAGCATTTGAAGATTTATGCAATGATCAAGGATATACTCACAACTTCTCATCTCAAAGATCACTTCAACGGAATGGGGTAGTTGAGCAGAAAAATAAAACTCTACAAGATATGGCCAGAACAATGATATTGGAATATTCCCTGCCAAACCATTTTTGGGCAGAAGCAGTAAGCACAGCCTGCCACATTCTCAACAGATGTCTTATAAGACCTATCTTGAAGAAAACTCCATATAAATTATGGAAAGGTAAACGGTCCAACATAGGTTATTTCCATTCTTTTGGCAGCAAGTGTTTTATCCACAACAATGGTAAGGACAATCTTGGAAAATTTGATCCAAGAAGTGATGAAGGTATTTTTCTGGGTTATTCCATAAATAGTAGATCTTTTAGAGTTTATAATAAATGTACTTTATTTGTAGAAGAATCAGTACATGCCATATTTAATGAAAATAACACTATGACCGAGAAAGAAATTATTGCAGGTGATGAAGATATCAGTCAAGAAACACCAGAGTCAAGCAGATCTCAAAAGTTGACTGATATGATAGACAATGTCACAGAATCAACTAGTGAGCCTGTCAACAGCCAACCAGAATCACAGAAGGAGTCAACTACTTATACGATTGCAACATGTCTAAATGAGTGGGGGAGTGAACCGGAATATCCTCAAAAGTTTATCATAGGAGATCCAAGTGAAGGAATGAAAATCAGGGGAGCTCTCAAGAAAAGGCAAAAGTAGCACTCATCTCTCAGATTGAACCAAAGAAGGTTGAGGAAGCCTTAAAAGAGTCTAGCCGGGTACAAGCAATGCAGGAAGAACTCGATCAATTTAATAAAAATCAAGTCTGAAACTTCTACCTAAGCCTGCAAATGCTACTGTAGTTGGAACAAAATGGATTTTCAGAAATAAGCTTAATCAAGATGGAAAGGTCGTGAGAAACAAAGCCAGATTAGTAGCCCAAGGCTACTCACAGCACGAAGGAGTCGACTACAATGAAACCTTTGCACCAGTAGCTCGACTAGAGTCTATACGGATTCTTCTTGCATATGGATCCTTCAAATGATTTAGACTTTTTCAGATAGATGTCAAAAGTGCCTTTTTAAATGGGTTTATTGATGATGAGGTATATGTAAAACAACCTCCTGGTTTTGAAGACTCAAAATTCCCTTACCATGGGTATAAGTTGACTAAAGCTCTATATGGACTCAAACAAGCTCCACGAGCCTCGTACGAAAGGCTTAGTTCATTTCTACTTGATCACGACTTTAAAAGAGGTAAAGTAGATACTACATTATTTATCAAAAGATCATCAGGAGGTAATCTTATTATTCAAGTTTATGTTGATGATATTATCTTTGGAAGTGCTAACCCTCTTTTGTGCAACAACATCAACTCATCTATACTAAGTCACTTCATACTTGAAAGAGATCACCCTTGCAACCTAAGGGGACTGGACGTAGGATTCACTCTGAATCCGAATTAGTATAAAAATATATCGTGTCATTTACTTTCTGCAATTTATCTTTTTCATTCAATTGCTGAAAAGCCCAGTCGACTAGAACTCAAATTAGTCGACTACTGTGAAAAAGAAAAGAAAAATCACAATTCACCCTCCCTCCCCCCTGCACTTTCAATAACCTCCCAAATCCTAATAACCCAACCCCTCATTCTCCTCATTTTTGTTCCAAATTAAGTTTTGATAGCATTTACATGATGATATTAATGTTTTATAACTTGTTGGTATGGTTTGGGTTTAGGCCAAAGGTGGTTAAGCACATTCATATCACATCCAGTGGTAAAAAAGGTGTTGGTGCAGGTTTTTATGCTACTATTGTATAGGGTGAAATATGATATGACACGTGGTCATCTAAAGGAAAGACACGTGGAACCCTAGACGGGGATGGACGAAGACCGAACGCAGCCATTTCGGTTATCACCAGAAGGGATAACGTTCATAAAGGTGTATTAAATGTTCTGCGCCCGGTAGCATTTAATAAAGAATATTCTGCAGCATTAAGAGCGACGACCCGTTACAGAGAATTTGGCATTTATATTCACCGTTACATCTTCGTCAATGACCCCCATAATTGACATTAAAGGAGGGCACGATCCTAGGACCTCCTTCCCTAGACACAGCTATAAATAGTGAGCCCAGTTATCATTGTAAAGGACACGAATTTTCTGGCAAAACTTACACCACATTTTATACAAAGCTTGACACAATCTTATTTTTCCGTTTTTTGATCTTATCATTGCTGTCCCTGAAAACCTTGTTCCCAGAACTGTTATTTATGCTGTTTCATCTACATTTTAAGGCTAAGTATTGTACAATTATTCAATTATTGTATTATTTCAGGATCAAATTAGTTCACTTATCTAGAAACCACGTATAAATTCAACTGTACCGTTTTACGGGTAAACAGTTATGATCGCAGAAGGGGATTGACCAAGAAATGTTCGAGTGGATCTGGCAATGCATAGCTGATCCGATAGAATTTGGACCATGATTATGGATGAGTCTGGACCATCTCAATCATCCGAGATCATGGGGGTGTGTATAAATAGTTGACTTTTTTTTACGATTTCAGACTTATTTTCTCTATTTTTAAGACATTTTAAAAACAGATTACATGTGTGGATACCTTATAATTTGGTAATCCAAAAACGTAACACGCTCCTAGAATTGACCCCACTGATCGATAATGGACTTTTAGTATTGACTTAGACTTTGATTAAGACTTAAAAGTTAGATATGAGTCTGGGTAAACATGAAAATTGAATATTTGAATATTTGAATAGATTGGAGTGACTGAGAGCAAACATGAAAATTGAACATGACATCTCACATGTTCACACACCCCATTCACTATAAATACTATACGATGCACAGCACAATAGAGGGAGAGCACATTAGGAATCCCTAGAGCTAAAAATAGTAGCTAAAGCAGTAGTGCCGCAGCGCCATCACTATCTTTCTCATTTTCCATTTTAGCTGTCATCTTCATCACTCGTTCACCGCTGTGTTTCCACCATGTGAGCCTCCATCGGAGCTCCGCTAACCACCAATTAAACACATCCAAAAACCAGCCATTGAAACCACCTTCAACCGGCCACAAAGCCATTAAAAAGCAGCTCCAAAACACCATTAACACCATAAAAAAATAGGATGTGAAACAGTCACCATAGCTCAACGACCAGTCACCAACAAGACTCACCTTAAATCCGGCGACTTTTACCATCCCAGAACACGACGGTCTATCCTGATCTGAAATGATAGAAATAGGCACCCCATGCAAACAAATAGGGGTGTCAAACATGCGGGTCGGGTCGGATACGGTTCGGGTATAATAAAAAAAAAAACGGGTAATTCAAAAACGAGTAAAATATCCGACCCGAACCATATTTAATACGGATAAAAAACGGGTTAACCGGCGGATAAAACGGTTAACCGTATTATCCGTTCATGGCTTCACATTAGCCTCAACTGTTCAGTGACCCAGTTGATCATCAAGCAAAACGGAGGAAGATACAATTGACAACCATCAACTACATGTACAAAATTCATTCCTATACAACTCTACTGTTGAACCCCCGCATTTACAGAGGATTTTTCCAACTCAGGACTGACAAATGAAGTAAAAGCACTACAGCAGAACATATATAATAACTTCTTTTGACACTAATTGTAGCAGCAAATGAGCAACATACATTGAAATACACCAGCAAAATACGTCAAAAATGTACTAGCAGAATTTATTTAAACTACCGGCAAAATACTTATAAAGTGTTTACAAAGCAAAATGCACAAAAGTAGACCCTTAGGACATTGTAATAGCATATCCAGTTGACAGCAGTCATTTGAAAGACAATAAAAATGTTGTGGTAGCCGATGCAACTTGTGGCAGAAAGCGGAACTTTGACCAAGAACATCATGCTTTAGACGTTTGTGAACAAAACCGGTAGTAGCTTCTCGAGCTGCACGTTCCGAGATATGCACACCAACACCGACATACTGCAATAACAACAACCAAAATATGTATGAGTACTACTGATAGTGTATATTTGTCCAGAAATAAAAATGAAGTGATAATAAACCAAGTTTGTGGAAATACATGCAGTAAATCTATGTCCTGAATTTTAATGCAACTAATAAACCAAGTTTGAGTATTTTTTTCCTTCTTGTTTCTTGAAAAGTGAACAGAAAGGACAGCTTTATAACACACAGAGCCTTCTGTGATGCGTTAGCAGAAGAAAGTGCAAGATTTACATCAGTTCCAGAAATAGAGTGACTTGAATTGAGCCATAAGAAGGGTGATATCATAAAGAAAAACCACCCTAATGCAGCGATTTTAATCTTTATTCATGACAAACTGAGAAAAACCAAAAGAGAGGGGAGCGAAAACACAAAACTCACCAGAAAGAATCACTTCAAAGCTCAGGTTCCCAGAAGGAGAAACAGCTTAAAGTCCCAAGCCTGATAAGGTTTACCTCTAAGTTTCGCAAGATAAGGTTGAAGATCAACAACAATCTCATCTTCTTCGTCAGACTCGGATCCATCATCAAGATCTTAAACAATTTAAGAAGAAAAAAAATAAGATATTACAACTTATTAGTTATTAAAAAAATAAAATAAATCAATCTAGAGAAGATTAATTTACCTTCTCTTTCACAAACTCAATCCCTAGTACATAGCTTTGCCTCCGCATTGGCGGGAAGAATGGACACGACCACCAATGCTAAACGTAGATTCAGAAGCTACTGTGGTGAGAGGAACACTCAAGACATCTCGTGCCATTAATGAGAGTTCTGGATATCTATGCCTGTTATCCTTCCAAAAGCCAAGTACATCTAGATTCGGATTTGTTTTACGGTCAAGAGTGGCTTCCTCCAAATATAAGTCTAGTTGTGTTTTACCTATACTTGACTCCAATTGACTCTCAAATTCATCAAACTCATCAAATGCATCCCTCATTTCATTGCTACCACTACTACAAGCATGATCCCCTGATAATGAGGTTGTAGTCGAAGGTATTAAGTACTCTTTGAACAACAATTATAGGTTATGTTCAATAACCTTCACTTTTTCATTAGCAATCTCCTCGGGATGAAGCTTTGAAAAGCAAAACTTAACAAACTTCAATTTATATCGAGGTTCAAGGATAATAGCTATAGATAAAATGACACTATACGACTCCCAATATTTCTTAAACTTCACCAACATCAAAGTGACCATCTCACTCATCACTGAATCTCAACTATTTTTTTGTTCTTCCAACAATATTTCAATTCTCCCTACATTAGGAAGATACAAATTAGTCGTGGGATACTTATATCCAGAAAACAAAGTCGTAATGTCATAAAATGGTTTAAGAAACTTAGCTATAATCTCGACCCTTTTCCATTCATCTACAGAAAGTCCGTGTCTAAAATCAATGTCAAGCAAGTTATAGTGAATATAAGCTTCCCGATATTGAAGAGCACTTTCAAGCTTTTGATAAGTGGAATTCCACCGAATAGGCATATCTTGGCGTAGCTTCTTAGAACATGGTAGACCAAGATTACTTAGACACTCCACAAATTTTATTATTCTTGTTTTTGAATTCTTGATATACTTAACACATTCTCTAATTTTTGTAATAGCTGCATCAACCTTCTCTAAGCCCGTCTTAACAATTAAGTTCAAAATGTGATTCCCACAACGGACATGAAGATACTTTCTCTCGCAAACTAATGAACGCATCAAAGACAAATGATTCTTTAAATTATCCATTACACCATTATTGCAAGTAGCATTATCCAAAGTAAGGGTAAAGATTTTCTTTTCGATTCCCCATTCTTTAAGAAAGCTAATCAATAAGGGACCTAAAACCGCGCCTGAATGTGGAGGAGGAACATGACGAAAAATCAACACCCTCTTCTAAAGAACCCAATTTAAATCCACATAATGGGCCGTAACGCACATATACCCATTAGATGCTACTGAAGTCCACAAGTCTGATGTTAAACATACTCTACTAGGAATAACTGCAAGCTCACTTTTCAAAAGTTCTTTTTCGCCTGCATACATATTCAAGATATCTGACTTGGCTGTGTTTCTTGATATGTGCTTGACAACGGGATTTAAGTATAAATGAAGGTCCTTGATGCCTTTATATTCAACAAAACTGAAAGCATAGTTAGGCCTGACTATGGCCAATGACATTTTCTCTCGATAAATATTTTGATCTATTAGTACACTTTGTCCCTCTTTTGCAGTATCCCATGGATGTTTTATCACCAAATGACGCTTCAAATTCGATGTTCCAAATTTAGAATCGTATATATATTATTTTTCACAAGCGTACATTTGACTTTAATCTTTCCATCACTATAAATACTAGGCTCTACTACCTTAACAAAAGAATCCCAAACAGTAGACGTTTGTCTTTTTTCTCGTTTTAGCGTAGTTGAAGAGCTTTGTTCACAAGAATCATCAATACCTTCCATTGACATCTCTACCTAAAGATGAAGTAAAAAGAATTCAATTGCATAATGATGAAAACAAACAAATGAATAGAATTCAATCACATAGTGATGAAAAAGAATAGAGAATAGAACTCGGAAGAAATTTCCCAATCTTTACATTTAACTCTAAAAGATGAAACCAATAACAAGTGTAGCAGGGAAATGCAAGTCATGGTTTCAAATCAATTAACTGCCGATTTAATTATTAGAAACTTGTAGTACTAGCAACTCACTAACACATTGCAGACGGACTTAAACACAACCATGCCATGGATTAAAATATACGAAACCATATTTGACAAGACATCAATTCTGCTTTATAATGAGTACATCTAAATGTTTTCACTCATCAGCATAGGGGAAAGAAACTGAGATAGCCAAGTGAACAATGGGTAAAATAATTTAGCATATCTTATGGGACAAAGACGATTGACTTACCATATTTTAACTTCGTTTTTTAACTAAACCCCAACAGCGTCACATTGACTTACCATATTTAAAACGGACAGAGTCATAATTTATTAGATGATTTTCTGCCACGCAATACCGGAATTCTTCAAAATTAAATTCAAAGACTCACATTATGTCACAAAAGCTAGTCCAGTCCAAACGGCAATAATTGCTCATCTACAGCTTCGATTCATATGAAAGATAAGGCTAATGTTTTCAATCATCGCTCGATGGTATGATTTGTTCGGATTTTACTTTTTTCTAGAGAACTGCAGCTATTCTCGTAAAAAAGAAGTAAAATAAAGCAATTGAATCAATAGGGAAAAACGTTGGTACCTTTTGCACTGTTAATCTGTGACGAAATTCAATCCATGGAGAGAGAGGGGATGCTTTTGGATTAGGGTAA